TGGTGCTGTGCTGCTTACGTGATGTGCGTGCGTTGCGTGGCGTGCGTTGTGCTGGCGTGCGTGCGTAGCGCTGCGTGCGCTGACGTGCGTGCGTGCGTGCGTGCCGTTGCGTTAGCGTGCGTGTTATGTGTAGGTGTTGTGCATGCGTGTGTGTGTGTGTGTATGGGAACCTTACTGAGTGACTGTTGGAGTTCCTATGAACATTTCCAACGACAGTGTCGGTCAGCTCAGGGTCAGAGGTCATCGTAAGGTCAATGGTTCTCGGTAGATATAGGTTACAGTATTAAAGCTGGCAGATACGCAAACGTCTATCACAGTCTAAACCCAATGGAAAGCCACTAACGTCTATGATATCGACATAACCACATTTTAATCGGGTTTAAAGTTGATGTTAATCATTAATAATTTCTTACCAATCAGAACAGTCACTTTTAATTGTGATTTAACGAAGTTTCAAGCGCGATTTGATTCAATCAAATCATAAAAAGTCCAAATATTCAAAAAAAATCAAAATTAAGATTACGTTACTAGTTGCGTTAGACCAGTCAGAAGCGTAGTACCGAATCCTGTTTGAACTCTGGTTGATATTCAAGATGGGCAAAGATTCAAGTGTACACATACTGTATACATCACCAACCTCCCTATTCTCTCATTATATCCCATTATCCCCTTGTTTAATGCACTCAAAAAAATTACACAATTAAGATGACGCCGAAAATAGCAACAAGGGAAACAAACAAGGGTGTTTAACAAGGGTGTTTAACAAGGGTGTTTAACAAGGGTGTTTAACAAGGGTGTTTAACAAGGGTGTTTAACAAGGGTGTTTAACAAGGGTGTTTAAAGTGATTACGTCACCGTAAATAGTAAAAAAAAATCCATTTTTTTACAAAATATAAGTGATTCTGTTCACTTTTTATGGTTAAATTGCTGCATTATACTTCTCATTTTACTATATTGTTCGATGTGAACATACACTCGTGACTCATACATAGCCCATAGCAAGCAATTAATGTTATGAACACTAATATCAAATCGTCCAGGTTTTTTGGATTTTTAGCTAGTTGAGAAACAATTAACAAGGGTGTTTAACAAGGGTGTTTAACAAAGGTGTTTAACAAGCGTGTTTAACAAGCGTGTTTAACAAGGGTGTTTAACAAGGGTGTTTAACAAGGGTGTTTAACAAGGGTGTTTAACAAGGGTGTTTAACAAGGGTGTTTAACAATGGCGTTTAACAAGGGCGTTTAACAATGGCGTTTAACAAGGGTGTTTAACAATGGCGTTTAACAAGGGTGTGTGGACGAGGGAAACAAAGGCTTCCTTTTGTCTCTTCTTCTGCATCGCACATGGCTAGACATGCACCCAAAAATCTTCCCCAACGGTTTCAAACCCGTGTATTTCTCTACTTCTTTTAAGGATTATTCCTGTACGAATTCTACCGAGCTGTCTCTTCAATCGGTTTCAAAACGGGGCGATTTTTCCTGTACGAATTTTGTTTTGCTTCCGTAACAATTAATCTGTCTCTTCCGGCGCTTTCGACGCTATCGCGTTACGGATCTGCTGATCGTCAGTTTTGTTTCGGCATCCGAACCTCTCGTCTGCTTCCTCTGATGACGTCACCACCTCCCCCTCCTCCCACCCGCGTTCAATCTACAGTGGAGGGTAGAATGCATTGATCACGGCTGATTTAGTCACGATATATACAGATACGCTATTTACAAAAGGCGATTGGTCTTCCTATTCGCTCTGCCGGACCGGGATTAAATCAGGAGTGTCATCCTAAAATAGACTATACTATGACACTTCTGATTAAATTATATCCGGCGTGTATGAAGCGTGCGTACACACACACACACCAGCGACCGTCACGTGACCGTCACGTGACCGTCACGTGACTACAAGCTGCTGAACATGCTGGGGAATGTTCATCTTTGCTAAGGCGTTCCACGCGCGGCGTTCTCACCTATGTTGTTCTCACGTTGTTCGTACAATCCCGGCGTTCATATCGGAATAGGTATTATATAGGAATAGCCTGTGAAGCCAGCAGTCAGTCATTCTGGCGCGCGTGGTTTATGCAACAGAAGGTTCAGCCTCCAGCCAAATAATCAATAGCAGCATCACTGGCTGCCAGGCCCGTTTTCACACCCATAGAAAAATGTGACACCCAATAATTCACAGTCAATAGCCCGTGCAGTGTTCACATCGCCCGCGTGTAGGGGAAGGAGGAGGAAGAGGGGGAGGGAGAGGGAGACGGGGAGGGAGAAAGAGAGGGAGAGAGAGAGGGAGAGGGAGAGGGAGAGGGAGAGGGAGAGGGAGAATCATAGCAAGCATGCCTTCCCCGGGAGAGGGAGAGGGAGAGGGGAAATCATAGCAAGCATACCTCCATGCAATATGAGAGAGAGAGGGATGGAGGGAGGGAGGGGAGCGGGGGAGGGGGGGGGGGGGAGGGGGAGGGTAGGGGGGAGGAGGGGGAGGAGGATGAAGAGGAGGAGGAGGAGGAGGA